TTTCAGAAAAACCTGGACTTAACATGAACTAATGCTGAGTGAAGTGAGCAGAACCAGGAGAACATTGTATACAGTAACAGCAACATTATGCGATGATCAACTTTGATAGACTTAGCTCTTCTCAGCAATACAGTGATTTATTTAACCCAATTCCAGACAACTCATGATGGAAAATGCTATCCATATCCAGAAAAAGAACTATAGAGTGTGAATGCAGATTGAAGTATACTATTTTCTGTCTTTTTTTTCCTTTCTTGTGTTTTTCCCTTTTGTTCTGATTCTTTTTTCACAACATGACTAATGTGGAAATATGTTTAATATGATTGTACATGTATAGCCTATATCAGATTGCATGCCATCTTGGGGAGGGGGGAAGTGAAGGAGGGGAGAAAATTTAGAACTCAAAATCTTATAAAAGTGAATGTTGAAAACTAAAAATAAAAAAAAGAATATCTGATTTATGTAGTTAAAGATATGACCCCAGTTTACGTAGATTCCCTTAACAACCTATTATTGATCTATTAGCCATGGGTTTAATTAATTCTTTCCAGCGTTTATTGTCCAGGAGTGCAAAAACCATGTCTTATTCATCTTTGGTTCTCCCAAATCACTTAGACACATCTCTGGATATAACAAGTAAAAAATATGTATTTTAAATTAATTGAATTACAGTATAACATGGTACTAGTCTCATGATAGATGCTCAGATAATTGTTGATTGGCATTTTCAGCTTTAGAAATAGGAAGTCATTTATCTTTTAATGGGACTATGTATCTGTATGTGTTTGTGTATATATGTACACACACAAACATGTATAAGAATTTGTCTGGGGGTGTTGCATGTGTATCTGAATATGTTTATCTATATTTGTGGTATGTGTATGGGGGGGGTTACATGTGTGTGTGGAAGAGTTATATGGGAATAGTGTGTAGATACAGGAGGGGTGGTTACCTGGTACTGTAGGAATGGGGGGGTGGTTATATGGGGGATGGGATGTTTGTAAGGCATTTGTGAGTAGGGGAACAATGGCAGATTTGGGAAAGGGGGACAAAATGAGTAGTGTGATAGGTTTGGGGTACAACTGGAAGATAATATGTTGGGGGGGTCCATGGGCATCTCTGTGGATGTAGTTGTATCTGTGACATATCCATAATGTCTGGCTATAAGCATAAATAAGGTAATTAAGGAAGTAAAAAGAAAGAAAAAGACAAAATCACTCATCAGACAGTCCTTCAGTTTTTCAAATTTTTGTTTGACTGTGTGTGGTTGTGTATGTGTTGGGACTCTGGTTATGAATGGCAACTTGATATAAGTTGTTAGTGCTGGAACCTACTCTCTAGTTAAGGGGCCCTGACCCTCCATCTTCCTAAAGACAACTCTAAGTCCTAGGAATCCCAAGTGGGTATGTGTTAGCTTTTCCCTTTGATGTGTACTGCTACTTCACTAAAGGTTTCCTTGCCCTGGTGCTACTGTTTGTTTTTCTACAGTGTCCTTTTTTAATACCACCATTGCCAATAAATAAATATAGATTGTCACCATGGTTGTCTGGAAGTCTAAGCCCTCAAAAATGGCTTCTTCGCCCCGGGGCCTATGTCTTGAACTGACCTCTGGTGTTTTTGTCTCTTGTGAATTAAGGCATTCATCTACTTCCCCAACTCTGATAGGAAATATACAACTTTGAAAACTTTATAGAACAAGCACATCTAAAAGGAACAGAGCTTGGAGAGATTCAGACAGTCATCTCCCTCATTTGGGATTTTGTCCTTAGGTTCTATACTCAATGCTCAGGTGGGCCACCTTCAAGGTTTGGCATAGTAACTTCCTTAAAGCTTTTCCATGAGTGATTTTAAGATGTACAGGCTACACTCTCACCCTTACCCTTTTTTCAGTTGTTAAGATCCAAGTGGTGTAGTGTGGGATGTTCAGATGGTGTGCTCAATCTTCATCAGTGTATCCAAACCAAGGTTAAGACCTGCTGCTAGTGTTAAGAAACTTGCCTTGGGGTTTAAACACCATTATCTTCATTATTTTTCATTAAGAGAGAGTGATGATTAATGAATTGCTGGATTACTAAGTGATGGTAATTGTGTGTGTGTGTGTGTGTGTAGAGAGAGAGAGATAATGGGAGGGGAATGAAGAAATGGAAGGGGAAGGGGCAAGAGAGAGAGATTGAGAGCATGAGCGCAAGCTTGACCAGCACTTTGCGCTTTCCTCAACAGAAGTCCTCCTTTGAATCTTCCTGAGGGCATAGTCAGTTAACTGTGCCAGCAGAGCACATGCCTTGGCAGATCCCGCCAAACTGAGCAAAGGCTCGTCAGTGGACTATCATCTGAGAGACCCGGCTTAGCGAAGTTTGAGGGGCTTCTTTTCAAGTGGTTAGTCACCAAGTGATGAATTTTTCTGCCACAGCAACTCATTAAGACCATCTGTTAACAGCATGAAAGGCTCTGGTCTTCATCATTGGAAGGAGTTGCCTGTATCAATGAGATCTTGGCTCATTGGAGATATTGAAAAAGACAGCCAGCACCTTTTAGTTCCCTTTTAAATATGCTTAACCTGTTTATGGAGACATTTCAGAGAGTATAAATTGAAATATGATAGCCTACAGGCATGCAAATGCAAGACTGAGAAAAGAATAGATATAAGTTAAGAAAAACTTGGTTAGGCTTTAGGATTGTGAAGTGAAGGAAATTAGAGTCCCTCCCTATCTTTTTGTCTATTTAAAGTAAGGATCTTTCTCCCATAAAAATAAGAAGTACAGCTTCCTAGCCCTGATTCCACCTTATAAATTTGGACATGCCCAGAATTGCAACTATAAAAGGGCTTTCCCACAGGAAAGTGATCTCTGGTGGCTTGGGCATTCTTTAATTTGCTCATTCTAATTCCCTTCAATGGGGCTTCCTTTTGGATAAATAAGTTCCATAGGAGAGTAAGACTGCATAAACAACCTACTTTGCTTTCAGCAGATGGAAGACTGAGTCCCTAGTCTTCTCTCTGAGAAGGATACTTGAGTGGAAGTTACAGGGAGATAGATTTCAACTTACTGTAAAGAAGAATTCCCTAAAAATGAGACCCATTCAATAACAGAACAATGTTTCCTTATTTTGAAAAAGTGATTTCTTCCTTCCTGGAGGTATTTAAACTGAGGCCAGATGACCACCCACCTATTAGGAGGTGGCAGGAGCACTGGTCTTGAAATCAGAAGATCTGAGGTGAAATCCCATCTCTGCCCTTACTGGTGACCCTGAACAAGTCAGTTTACATCTTTGAACCTTAGTTTCTTCTTATGTAAAATGGAAATATTTATACTATCTACCTGATAGGGAAAAGATCAAATGAGCTAAAATGAGCTTTTTGTTTTGTTCCGTCTTAATTTTTAATATTTATTTATTTATTTTTAGTTTTCAGCATTCACTTCCATAAGATTTTGAGTTCTAAATTTTCTAACCTTCTCTCCTCCCCAAGATGGCATTCAATCTGATATAGGCTATACATATATATTCATATTAAACATATTTTCACACTAGTCCTGTTGTAAAGAAGAATTAGAACCAATGGGAGAAACCAGAAGAAAGAAGAAACAACAAGAAAAAAGACAGAGAGCAAATAGTATGCTTCAGTCTGCATTCAGACTCCATAGTTTTTTCCTGGATGTGGATAGCATTTTCCATCATGAGTCTATTGTCGTTGTCTTAGATCCTTGCATTACTGAGAAGAGAGAAGTCTATCGAAGTAAGTCATCATACAATGTAGCTGTTACCGTGTTCTCCTGGTTCTTCTCACTTCACTCAGCATTAGTTCATCTAAGTCTTTCCAAGTTTTTCTGAAGCCCACCTGCTCATCATTTCTTATAGAACAATAGTATTCCATCACATTTATATACCATAACTTGTTCAGCCATTCCCCAATTAATGGGCATCCCTTCAACTTCCAATTCTTCGCTACCACAAAAAGAGCTGCTATAAATATAAAATGAGCTTTTTGTAACCATGAAGTGCTATGTCAGTGGGCATTATGGAGCTGCTGCTACGTGGTGGCAACCCATTCCCTGGGTGGGAGGTTTGTCTGAGTCGTCTCTCAAATGACTATCATATTTCAAATCATATAAAACCTTGGCTCCATTTGCTGGTTGTTTTTCTAGGACAAGGATTTCTAATCCTACTGTCTCCCCAGTCCTGGTCTGTCTTCAGTTATCTTGGAGGACTGTCATGGATTTCCCAAAAAAAAATCCTCTTAAAACAAAAATAATTTAAATTAACAGATTTTTTTTAATTAAACACACATCCTGTGGTATTTCAAACTAACAACTGTGGTGTGGCAAAACTCCCTAAATGCTGACATGTGCTTGTGTGTTCTGCTAAACCTACTCTGTCCTGAGTAGAGTTATAGTATTAATTCAGATGAGGCCTGACATTGTCTTTGTGTGGGGCCTGAATCCCCACGAAGGACCGCATGGCTCATGACTCCCACCACTGTGGTATAGCCTTGGTAACAAATGGTCTGTCATAAGGAAGCCAGCCCTTTCCCTTAAAAGAGGCCAGGATAGCAGGGACCTCTGATTGAAAAAATATGACCCTCTTTAAAAATAGGAGTGTGTTGAACACAGGAAATGATAATACAAAACAGCAGATTTCAAGTTCATCTGTTTAAAACACAAATCCAGGGCTCCAAGTTAGGGGGAGGTACTGTCTGTCTGCACAGTTTCTGCCCACTGGGACCTGGTAGGAAGTTGGAAATGTAAAAATTGGTACAAAATAGGAAACAAGCCTTGAAAACACATTATTTCTTCTGAAACTCTGATTCATTCTTACCTGCCACATGTTGTCTCTAAATGAGGGGAGGAATCTCTTCAGAGACTTGTGATAATCACCCCTGAGAGGAAGCAGGGAGGAAACCTGTTCTCTTGGACTTCGAGCAAACACCTCTCACCTAGAGGGAGACCTAGATCGCAATTTGTTTTACATTTTTCCTGTTTCCCTTGCCTCCTGTGTCTCTGCAGGTTTTCCAGCTTGCTGCCCACTTGGTATACTGGGGCAAGGCCATCATCATCTACCCACTGTGTGAGAACAACGTCTACATGCTGTCTCCCAATGCCAGTGTGTGCCTGTGAGTAGGAAGTGGCTGTGTGACAACTGCCAAAGATTGCACCATACCATGGGGGAAATATTTTGGCCAAAAGCAAAGGCACTGGCAACCTCACCACCTTTTTGTTTTTTTAGATAGCAGTTAGAAAAGACATGGTCAGAAGAAGCAGTGAGGAACTTGTGTCCTTCTTACCTACTTCCATTCTGTAGGGTTCAATTGTTGTTCAGTCGTTTTTCAGTTGTGTCCAACTCTTTCTGACCCTAATCTAGGGTTTTCTGGGCAAAAATGCTGGAGTGGTTTGCCATTTCCTTCTCTAGCTCATTTTATAGATGAGGAAACTGAGGTAAATGGAGTTAAGTGACTCACCCAGGATCACACATCTACTATTGGAGGCCAGATTTGAACTCAGGAAGATAGCTTCAGGCCTGTTGCTCTATCCACTGTGCCACCTTGCTGCCTCATGCTGTAGGAAGTGAAGAGTAATCTTTGTGTGGTTTAGCCTTCTGACATCAGACAGTGGCCATGGCCTTAGGTCAGATTTTATAACTAGGATTGTACTCCTAATAATTGTCTTGCGCTTAGTCTCCTAGTTCCTGGAACTGACAGAGTGCCACCTGTTTGCTTCTGGAGCATAAGTCAGAGTGTGGATAATGTGTTTGTGATATCAAATTGAATGAAAGAGGTAAGGGCAAAGATCTGATTTGATTCACACAACAGTCCTCGGAGGCAGGTGCTATTAATATTATCCCCATTTTACAGCTGAGGGAATTGAGGCTCAGATTGGCTAATTGATTTCCCCAGGACCACACAGGCCCAGGGCTCTATCCACTGCATCAGTGATCATCTCTGTAGTCAGGTCATTTCTGATAAGTCCATGGTTAGTGAGGTTGCCTCATGGAATAAGTCATAAACCTCTTCATTTCCCAGTTCAGCTCAACAAGTGATATTAAATTCCTGTTCTGTACAAGGCATTGAGCTAGACAGTGGAGATACAAAGACAAAAAAATAAATGAATCGCTTCTCCCAAGAGCTAACATTCCACTAGGGGGACATAGCATGTATATTTGTAGACTTGTAGTTGGTCTCCCTGCCACAGTTGTCTACTCTTCCACTCACCTGTCTAAATGATCTTCCTAAAGTGCAGGTCTGACCGTGCCCCCCCCCCATTGAACTCCAGTGGCTCCCTGTCATCTCCAGCATCAAATATAAAATCCTGTTTACCACTGAAAGCCTTCCATAACCTGCTCCCCAACATCACCTGTTTTTTACGCCTTATACCACTCCCATGTGACCCAGTAACACTGGCCTTGTTGCTGTTCCTTGAACAAGCTATTACAGCTCCCAGTTCCAGGCATTTTCACAGGCTGTGCCCGATGCCTGGAATGTGCTTCCCTTTTCATCCCTGCCTTGATTTCCTAAGTGCCAGGTGAAATTCCACCTTATACAGGAAGCCTTTCCTGAACCTCCACAATTTTAGTGCCTTTCCTCTGAGCTTACCCCCAGTTTATCCTGCTTATAGCTTGTTTGTGCCTGGTGATTTTCGTATTTTTCTCCATTTTGTGAGCTCCTTGAGAATAGGAACTGTCTCGTTCCTTTCTTTATGTGCCTAGAACATAACGCAGTGTCCAGCACATAGTATGTGCTTAATAAATGTTTATTGACTGATTGGCTGACACAGATAAGTAAATACAAAGCCCCTACAAAATAACGCACACTCGTTGCACTAGGGACGGAACTCTAACAGTGGTAGGATTAGGAAAAGCCTTGTGAAAGAGGAGGGAGAAAGAAAAATCAGAATATGAAGAACAAAATAATAGCAGCAGTATGGTTTTTGGAACCTCGTGGCTTATCAGGGTTGGGATTAACCACTTGCCCTGGATGAGTAGGAGAGTGCTGATATCATCAAGTCTGACTTGGAAAAAAGGTATGGGGTAGAGACATTTCTGGTTCTTATTTAGAAGACTTCTGAAATATGTTTCTGGTGTAAATAGCTAAAAAATATTTGGCCGGGGGGCAGGTAGGTGGTTCAGTGGATAGAGCACCGGCCCTGAAGTCAGGAATACCTGAGTTCATATCTGGCCTCAGACCAAACACTTGACACTTACTAGCTGTGTGACCCTGGGCAAGTCACTTAACCACGATTGCCTAAAAAAAAAAAATTTGGCCAGACTTTAGTAGTTAAATAAAAGCCAGTGTCCTAGCCTTCCCTTTTTCAATACTTACTAAGGACATCCCTACTAAGAACACGTCCCACCCCTCTTCTGTCACCTTATATTCTTCTACTCTTGTTCATCCCTAAATGGCCTGGATCTTTTCCAAGATCCTAGTTAATCTAAACACTGTTTACATGTACTTTCCTTACCAAGAAACTTTCTTTAAATATACTATTCTAAGGCTGACTTTAGAAATACATTTGCATGTAAGCACACACCCACACGCACAAACATACACAATGGGAAAACTCAAAGCAAATATAAGGATAATTCAAGTTAATAAACAATCACATAAATTATTAAAAACCCATTTTATTCAATTATTTTGTACATTTCAAATAAAGGTGTTTGGTTTGAAAAAGAAAAGAAAGAGGAGGGAGACACCTAAACTGTGTCTTGAAGGAGACTAAGTGTGACAGGTAGCCAAGATGAGGGAATGCATTGAAAATGTGGGGAGCCATCTGTGTAAAGGCATGGAAGGGTATGGGGAGTGTCCCGTAGGCCAGTTTTATAGAAGAGAGAGTCTGTGAAAGGGAATAAAAAAATAAGAATGGGGAAGTAAGTGGGAGCAAGATTGTGGAGGGTATTAAATGCTAGGTTTTATATTTTCTCCTAAAGGCTGTTGGAAGGTATTGAACATTTTTGATTAGTGGGGGACGAGTGTTTTAGGAATATCAGTTTGGCAACATTGTGACAGATAGATTGGCAAGAGGAAAAACTGGAAGCAGGGAGGCTGTTACATTACTTTACATGAGAGGTGTTGAGGACCTAACCTAGGGTAGAGGCTGTGTGAGCAGAGAGATGGTTATGAATGTGAAAGATTATGTGGATGTAAAAATGCCCAAACTTTACTACTAATTGGATATAGAAGGTGAGAGGAAGAGTAAAAAGTCAAGGGCAACTCAAAAGTTGACTGAAAGAAAAGATGGTGGTGCCTTTAACAGAGATGGGGAAGTGTGGGAGAGGGATAGGTTTAGCAGGACATGTGAGTTCTGCCTCATTATATTTAAATATTGAATTTTCAATGCCTATGGGGTGTCCGGGTGGAGAACAGGCAATTTTTTATCTAGATCTATGATTTCATCCGTGTGTGGAACTTCCTTTCCTAAAGTAAAATAGCAACTCTTCTGTACCTTGCAGTCTGAAAGGTGGCCTGGGGCAGGAGGAAGTTAAGTAACTTGCCCATCACCCTACAGCTGGAATGTGTTTAATAATGACTTATTCAATATCATACAACAAATTAGTGGTAAAGCTGGGGTTAGAACTAGCATCTCTTGCCTTCTAGTGTTCTTTCTGCCTCATGAGCTGTTTTGCTGGATGAATTCTGCTCAGGGCCTCAAGAAGAGCTGTTCCCTTAGTGGTCCACCCAGCAAATAGGGAAATAGTGCTAGACAACTGCAGGCTCCTTCCCATACCTGTGTGACCTTGGGCAAGCCCCTTCCTTCTCAGAGCCTCAGTTTCCCTATCTGTTTCATAGGAAGAAAAACAACATCCTTTCCTTACCTACCAGGAGTGCTCTGTGCAAGAAAGCAGGTAATAGATACATGAAAGTGCTTTGGGAGTACAAAAGAAGCTTGGAACACAAAATGGGAGTATTGCTTTTAGCTAACACTACCTTTAAAAAAAATCCCATTCCAGTCCTTAAGAAAGGCTGTAGGAAGGCTTTGTTTGTTTGTCTGTTTGTTTTTCATCTCAGCAGACCTAAAAAGATAACTCTTGAGATTTTTTGTTCACCTGCACTCTCATCCCATTATTCCAAGTACTACTTTCAACAGCCAAACCAGGTGGTTGATTCCAAATTGATCTGATTATATCTTCAAAGCACTTTTCCTTCAAAGCATCTAAAGCCATGTACTGAGAATGCCAACCTTCATGTACCAATAATGTAAAAAATGGTATGAATTCAAAGGCGATAATACTGTGAGCTACTGGTGTTGGCAGGAAAGAAAGAGGACTCATGATTCTAGTGTGTTGCCCAACTTGAGTTCATTAAAATCACTAACATTTCCTTTTTGATGAGAGTAGACTAGGATATGATAATAGATGATATTTATATGCCACTTCTAAGTATACTCATGGCTCTCTTGAACATCATGGCATTTGATTCCCATAACCTAGTGAGGTATATGATTCTCATATCTGTTTTACAGGAAAGAGGAACCTGAAGCTCAGGGGGAGTTTAGCCACTTGCCTGTTGTCTTTTAGCTAGTAAATATCATGGCTGGGGTTTGAACATAGGTATCTCTTGACTCCCAAAGCCAGTTGCTTCTTCTGTTGCACTCTCTTGCCTCTAACTCAACCACTGAAAAATCTGACAAAATCAGTCTGGCTGTACTCATGGAAAAGAGGAAGAAATGAGGGCTAGATAGTAATACATTCATTCATTCAATGAGTATTTATTAGGTGCCTGCTATATGCTAGATGCTGTGTTAGGCTCTTAAGGAAAAGCAAAAATGAAATAGACCTTTACCTCAAACAGTTTACATTGTATTGGAGAGACAATATACTTAGGAAATTAAATGAAAAATATGTGCAAAGTAATTCCTAGAAAGGGGATATTAGCAACTTGGGGGTTGGGGGAGGTAGGAAAGAATCAAGGTGGGCTTTCTGTGGGAGGTACCTTTTGAACTAAGCTTAGAAAGTAGCAGTGACTTCCCAGCAAGGGGTGGAGTGGGGGTAGCCTTTGAAACGCATGGAATGGAATGCTGGAAAACAGCATGGAGGCTAGGTTGGTTGGGGCATAGAGTGCATGGAGAATAACATGCAGTAATTCTGGAAAGGTAGGGGGGAGCCAAAAGCTTTCAAAGTCAAAAGATCTGTATTTTATCCTAGAGGCAAGACCGCCACTGAAGCTTCTTGAGCATCTGAGTGACTCGGTCTGACCTGTGCTATAGGAATCTCAGTTTGTGACAAAGAACTGTGGTGTAGAGGGTACCGAGCTGTCCTTAAGTCAGGATAACCTGGGTTCACATCCTGCCTCTCACACATACTCAGTCTGAACCACCCCCCACACCCAAGTCACTTAACTTCTCAGCGGCCCTAGTAACTTGCTAAGGTTATAAGTTGCAAATCAGGTTTTGACTTGCATTGGTGGAAGGAGTTTTCTCACCAGGAACTCCCTATACCAGTGAAATCACAGGTTTGGTTCAAAAGTCCAAAACCAAACAAAAATGAGATGTAAACCTGACAGGAGAATGGAGGGTGTATTACAGAGGAGAGAGACTAAAGATGGGGAGACTTGGTAAGCATCTACTGCAGCAGTGCAGATAAGAAATGAAAAACCTGAACTTGACTGGAGCTAAGATGGTGGCTGTATTGGTGGAAAGAAGGGAGCAGATGTGGGATACATTGTGGCAGTGAACTTGACAAGACATAGCCACAGATGAGGACTGAGAGAGAGGGAAGAGTTGAGGATGAGTTGAAGGTTAAAATTATTTGAATAGACCCAAAGACTGCTGATAAATATGTCAATAATATATTTATAAATATTATAAATATAAATGGAAAAAAGACTTTAGTGTGGTACTGATGCTAATTAAAGTATTTATTAAGCAATTAAAATGTGCAGGCAGCTGGGTGTTATAGTGGATAGAGTGTAGGCCCTGGAGTGAAGAGAACTAGAGTCCAGATCTGGCTTCAAACACTTAGTAGCGTGTGATCCTGGGTAAGTCTCTTAACCCTGTTTGCCTCAGTTTCCTCATCTGTAAAATGAGCTGGAGAAGGAAATGGCAAACCACTCCAGTATCTTTGCCAAGAAAACCCCAAGTGGGGTCATGAAGAGTCAGACACGACTGAAACAACTCAACAAACACGTAAAGCACTGTGCTAAGGTAGAGAAGTTAGACAGTGCCTGCTCTCAAGGAGCTCACATTCTAATGGTGGAGACAACATATATAGAAAGTATTAGCTATAGGTCAGTTGGGAAGGTCCCATGGTCCTTAGGGAACCTCAGCAAAGGAGATGGTAACTCCTCTTCTTTAATGTTGGGTTCCACTGATAAAATCTTATCCGTTTCTATTGTTAAACCATTTGATAGTGTCAAGTACTTGGTGACAAGAACTTTCTTTTCGGGGTCTTCAGTAAGTGTGGCTGGAGCACTTGCAGGAGCCGTTGCCAGGCTGCATCTCCACAAGAGTTGTTTCCCAGGATGGTGGGCTGAGGACAATGGGCTGGAAGCTTTATTATTCCAAAAGCTCTTGGGTTCAGGATCTTGGGCTGTCTCAGTCTAGTTCTGAGGAGAGATGTGGCAGTCAGGATGATGGTGGTGGTTTGTTTTGCCTGACACAGATTGCCTCTTGTCTCTCGCTCAGGGTGCCTTGCTGCTTCAGCTAGGCTAGCTCGCCTGCCCTATATGTGGCTGGCCCCTTCTCCACAGGAGGACTGTGCTAGAAGCAGACCTGGTGGCTTTGGGGGCAGTGGGTGTACTGCCACATCTAGGGCTCCTGTGCTTATTGGTGACATTTAGTCAGTAATGGTTGCTGGTGGTGATGAGGTGGCCCCTTCTACACAATGATATCTCTCCTCAGTGGTGGCTGTGGGAAGCAGGTCTGGTGGTTTTCAGGACCCAGCCATTCCCAAGGCTCTTGGGTTCAGGATCCTGGGCTATCTCCATCAGGGTTTGAGGATAGTAGTCAAGGTGGCATAAGTATTTTGACTCCCTTGGCCCATACTGCTTCCTGTCTCTCCCTCAGGGTGCTTTGCTGCTTCAACTAGGCCAGCCTGCCTAGCTTCCCTTGGGCATGAAGACATAAAGAACTCATCTATCAGATCTGAAAATGGCATGAATCTGGGAAAAATGTGTTGATGCAGTCAAGTTCTGAAAAGAACAATAGACCAAATCTACTGATATGAAGTTTGGAAAGAATAAACATAGTATTAGCTTTGAGTCTAAACAAACTATCCAACTACGTATGTATAGATGGGAGAGATGTAGCTAGATGCATTCATAAGGAGACTGTGGGCTTTTTAGTAAGCCATAAACTTGTGAGTTAGCAGCTAAAAAAGCTAGTGTGATTTTAGGCCACGTCAATAGATTTCTAATGTCCAGCATGAAACAGTTAATAGTTTAATTGTAATCTTCCCTCGTCAGATCACGTCTTGAATATTGTGTACAATACTAAACACTAGATTTTAGGAAGGATATTAATAACCTCGAGTGTGTGGAGAGCTTGAAGGTAAATGGAATGGAAACTGTGCCATATGAGGAAGAGCTGAAAGAATGGTGGCTATTTATTCTGGAGAAGAAAAAACTTAGGAGGGGATATTATCGCTGTCTTCACATAATCTAAGAGCTTTCATGTAAGACAGAGATTAGACTTGTTCTGCTTGGACTTAGAAGGCAAAACTGTGACTGACTAAAGAAAAGTATAGTGAGACAGATTTTCACTCCATCCAAGAGTGGAATAGGCTGTCTGGGGAGAGTAAGAGGTGGGTGGTGGAAGTTCCCTCTCATTGAAGGGCTTCAGATGGACGTTAGCCATATGCTGGACTGCTTTAACTGCTTAGGTATAAAGTGAACTAAATGACCTCTAGTTCCCTTCCAAGTCTCAATTTTATGGTTATGTGATCCCATTTGGCATTCCCCATTTGGGGAATATTATGCACAGAACAGAAGTTTTTGAAGCTAAGACACACAAGAAGCTTCCCAGCAAAATATGCTTAGCTAAAAAGGCAGAGTATCAGTGAAGGGGGAAGATGAGAAAAATCAGAGATGTACACAGTCCACTGTCCCACTCTTAAAGATGCAGAACCCTCCTGTTCTGCAGATCCTTCCATTGTGGTGGCATGTTTGAGTTAGGATATAATTTGTTTATCTCACTTTACCTTCAGAGAACCTTAATGATAAGATTGTTAAAAGCCATAAACTTTGAATTTTCCTAGCTGCATCCTAAAGCCTGCATGCTTTGTTGGGCTCTGATATAACCTCCACACCAAGAAATGCTTCTCCTTCATGCATAGCCCCTACCCAGGACTCCTAATCTTTAAAGAGAGCAGCTTGGGATGTCCTTGACCAGAAAACACAGTAGGAGAAAAGTGTGTGAAGTACATGTGCCAAGAACACAAGGCTAATATAACTTTAGACTACATTAACAGGTAGAAGCACAATATCCAGAACAAAGGGGGTTCTAATCCAGACCTGCACAACTTGGCAGTAGGGAGGGGCCAAAATTAAAATAGGCTAAACTTCTTCAGGCTGAAGATAGGTTAGACTAGAGACAGATTGACAATGCCTGGTTGCCATTGGTCACGTTACAGCCCCTGAACTCCTTCGGTGGGCCGCAAGTGACCCTCAGGCCATCCATATATTATGCAGTCCTGTTCTCATCCCATTGTATTCTGCCTCTGTCAGACATCTGGAGTATTATTGCATCCATTTCTGGTGGAGAGACCTGACTGTTTCTTATTCTTGTTTGCAACAGATATTCTCCACTGGCTGATCAGTTTTCTCGGCAGTTCCCTGCTCATGATTTGCCATCTGTTCTTGCCAAATTCTCATTGCCAGTTTCTTTATCAGAATTCAAGAATCCTCTTGCTCCACCAGTGCAGGAGGTAAGTTGCTGTGCATCACTGGGTCCGCCTGGGGGCAGGGGTTAAACAGGGTAACCTTTAAAAACCTCTACCCACCCATTTATTTCTTTATGTAACTCCCCTATTCCCAGTGTTTCTAGTGGGCATGACTTTACATGTTATCCATATCGTTAGAGTTGTGTGACAGAAAATGGAGTTTTAGCTCTTTGTTCCCACCACTTCCCAGGCAAGGCCAGCCCATGTCATTAGCATTCTAAAAATCCCCCAGAGGACGGCTGTCTCCTAATGTGGATTTTCCAACTGAGGTTACTTGTTTTAGTTAGAGAGTGGGACAAGTTGCTTGGCTTCTCTTTTCCCACTACCAAAGGGGCCCTCTTCTAGGCTCAAATGAGCTGATTTTCTTATCTGGAAACTTCACCCTGGCAAGATGATATTGACCTTTAACTGAGAGGACAGAGCTTAAGTTCAGCCCCTTACTGGGACCTGGGATGTTTTTCCATTGATATCAGAAGCAAAGAGAGCTTTGTTTTCACTGGGGCCCAAGGTTCTGAATCTCTAGGCTGTGGCTGCTCCAGTGAGAGAAGGGGAATTGCTCTTGGCACTGTACATCCTGCCTTTCTCATCAGGGTGCATGCACATAGCCTTTAATAACTGGAATGGAGCCCTAGAGCTCAATTGGGTCTATGAGAGAAAGCTGGTGAGAAGAGCCAGTATGCCAGGTCCAAGAATACCCTGTTATATTTTGGCCCCAAGAACTGCTTTCTAGTTAAGTCTTTTCCAGTCTGTGTCCCTGCCTCCGTTGTGAGAAATATTTAAACCAAGAGGGGAGCATAGCAGATACTAATTTTATATGACTCACCTTGTGTACCATTAATCATGGCTTCCATAATGAATAGATAAAGGAGCATTTATTAAATACTTGCTGTGTATCAAGTACTCACTAAGTGCTGAGAAACAAATACAAAAAGGAAGCAGTCCCTGTCCCAGATGAGGAGACAACATACAGCAGGGAATGGTGGCTGAATAAGGGGGTTGGGGCCTCAGGAATCAGAGGGATGGAGTTGATTTGGCATAAGGCAGTTGATTTGGTGAGTGTTCCAGAGCAAGAGATGGAAAGTGGCGGGGGAGGGCATTGTGTATGTGTGTGTGTGTGTGTGCGCGCGCGCGCTGTGTGTGTCGGGGAAAAGTGGCTCTAGATGGCAAGGTGACTAGGTGGACAGTTGAATAGGATATAAGGCATAGCTAGATATAGTAGCAGAGATATATGTCAGTGTAGTTCAGGCCCAGGGTAGTAGTGAATGGATGGTGGAACTTCCCCAGGGATTAGAGGTATGGTTTCTGGATGTCCATTCTAGAGGTCCTGGTCCACATGGAGGAAACAGAAGAGCAGCAGGGCATATGGCAAGGTGGCCAGAGCAGATGTCTGCATGATACACAATGTATGATCTGGTCTGGAACTGGCTAGTGGATACACCTCTTGCTCCCCATCTGGATCTCTTAGGTTCCCCAATTTAGCTCATGTGGCTTGAAATCTGACTTTCTTCCTAATTGGTTATGCTTTGAACTGTTCCTTTGTTTACACGTTCAGTCCTTTGTACTTGATTCTCTGTTCCTACCCAGCACATTACACCCTTTTTTAGCCAGTGTAGCGAAGTGGACCCATGATGAAGGAGTGAAATGTTATCTGAGCCTGAGTGAGGTTCATTAAGCAGCAGTTGGCTGGGAGGGCTGAAAGAGAAATTGAAGTAGGAAAGTTCCAGGAGGAAGGATATTTTGTAAGTCTGGGAATGGAGCAATTAGAAATGTTAACTTCTGTAGATGTAAAACAGTTTTACTCAGTCATTAAGTGGGGCATTTCCAGGGGAAACTGGCACTTTACAGAAAGGGCATCATTGCATGCCTTGTTTTTCTTTTTTTTTCCTTTTTGAAGCTGTAAAGGAAGGTTTTCACACTGAGATGACATTGACAATAAGAGGGAAGTGTGAAGAATGAAGGGGTGATTTGGTTTCCAGAAAGTGAAGATAAGAACCTTTAAAAATATCTCATACTTTTTGGCATAATCAGCTTTTCCCCCACTTATAGCCTCTGTATTCTACTTTATTCTACATTTTGTTTCTGAGATCTCAGTAAGCTGATTGAATTAGCTATTGTAAGTTGAATTAAAGAAAATGTTTACTTATATTGAATCTCCTTCCCACACTTGCCCATCTACGTACCAACCCACGTGCCACCTCACACTTGCTATCATGTGTTCACAAAAAGGATGTGTGAGGGACAGAATGAATGCCTCTGAACTCCCACTGTGATTGGGTAACATTGGGTTGGACTTGAATGATTCAGCGGTACTGGTAGCAACTTGATGAATTTGTCAGTGCTGATGGCAGTCTTGAGAATGGCCCAGGCTAAGTTTACTGCTGTAGATACAAGATGTTACTTAGGGACTTTGATCCTCAAAAGTGCATTGAACAAGATGCCTTTACCTTTTTTCTGCACCGAGGACTATTCTGCCAATGTGACTTGGGACTTGACCCTTTTGGGTTTTGAGGTGATGCAAAAGCCTTTTTATGAGAGCTTCTGCACTTAGAACCAGTGAAAACTTTTTAGGGGTGGAAAGTGCTGCCCGTGCTGGCCTTAATTGTTAAGAGTTTTCTGATTCCAAAAGACTGAGAAACACTAAAATACAGGGGCAGCTAGGTGGCGAAGTGGATAGAGCACCAGCCCTGGAGTCAGGAGGACCTGAGTTCAAATTTGGCCTCAGACACATAACTTACACTAGCTGTGTGACTCTGGGCAAGTTACTTAAAACCCAAATTGCCTCACCAAAAAAAAAAAGAAACACTAAAATACAGCCCCCTCCTCATAAGATCATATATTAAAGGTAGAGGAGACTTCAAAGGCCATTAAGTCCAACTCCAGTGTTTTACAGATGAAGAAAATAGGGTACAGTGAGGTTAAATGGCTTGCCCAGGGTTACACAGATAGTAAATTTCTTAGGCATTATTTGCATCCAGGACTTACGCACCATTCCATGTTGCTTTCTTCATTCACAGGAAATTAGAATAGGGCCTTTAAGATTGAGCACTGCCTCTCAGTTGCAGGAATTTTCTGCTGGGAAAATGTGATTCCTGTGATTTTTTTTGAAGTGGGAGAAACAGGCAATACAGAGACAAAAGTGAAATAGTCTGTCTCCCAAAGAGGTTCATTTTGTGTTTATATAAATAAGAATATATAAAATAAATGCAGGTGAACTTTCTGGAGGGCCTTAGCATCTGGGAGAACAGAGAATCATGAAGACTTCAAATAGGAGGCAGCTTTTGAGCTGAGTTTTGAAGAAAAGAAAAGGTGAAAGGAAGTGAGAAGGTGCATTCCAGGCATGGGGCACTGGGGAATGATGATGAGGAAAAGGGAGGTGGTAGGTGAGGACAGCAAGGAGGTCAGTGTGGCTGAGCCAAATAGTATGGGAAGGGGAATAATGTGTATAACAAGATTGGATAAGGAGGTTGGAGCCAGGTTGTGAAGGTCTTTAAGAGCCAAGCAGAGGAGTTTATATTTGATCCTGAAGTTAATGTAGGGAGTTATTGTAGTTTATTGATTGGGGGGGGTGATCTGATCAGACCTGCTTTTTGGGAAAGTCACTTCAGCAGCTGTGTAGAGAATGAATTGGAGTGAGAAGAGTCTTGAGGCAGGGAGACCAAATAGGAAGCTATTGCAGTATTCCAGGTGAAAGGTGAGGAGAGCCTGAGCTAGGCTGATAGACATGTGAGGAGAGAGAAGGGCATGGAAGCAAGAGACACTGTAGAAGTAGAAATTACAAGAGTTAGCAAGATAGGGGAAAGTGAGGACTCTAGGATAACAATAACATGGTGAGCCTATGTGATCATGATACATACGATCAACCAACAAAGGAGAGTGAGGAGGGGAAAAGTGTGATAAATACCCAAAGAGGAGACGGTGTTCAGGATGTCACGGCGTTACGTAGTGTTAGGTGTGAGTGGTCAGGAAGGTCAAGGACCAAGAAAAGGTCATCAGATTTAGCAATTAGATTATTGGTTGCTTTGGAGAGGGCAGTTTTAGTTAAGTGGTGACGTCCCAAGATAGACTACAAAGGGTTGAGAAGCAAGAGAGAAGAAAAGAAGTGGAAGCAATGAGTTGAGACACCTTTTTCTAGGAGCATAGTGTAATAAAGGTGAGAATAGGATGTTGGCCTGAGAGATAGTAGGATCTAGTAGAGTTGGGTTTTTTTTTTTGAGGTTGAAGGAAGCATACATATATTTGTAGGAAGTTGGGAAGGAATCAGTATAGAGATAGACTGAAGATTAGAAAAGGAATGATTGTGGGGACAATTTGCTGGAGAAGGAAGGCAGTGGGATCAAGGGAATGTGAAAAGGGGTTGGCCCTGGTGAGAAGAAGAATCACCTCTTCATCGGAGACTAGAATAAAAGAGAGACTGTGGGAATTCAGAGTCGTAAAGAAGAGAAGAGGAGCTCATGGCAAAATAGTCTCCATTTTCTCAATAACGTGTGGAGTGGGGTACTTAGCTGAGAAGGTGGATTCTGGGCCTGTCATCAGGAGAAATATGGGGCCACATAGGTGGAGGCAGCAGTTAATGCCTACATGTGACTAGAAGTGCATGTGGCCTAGGGCTTCCCCAGTGTTGGGTGTCAAAGAGTATCATTCTTTTCTGGGCCTGACTTTTCACTGAGGTCTGGTTTTTTCTCCTTTTTTATGTTTTCCCTCATGAAATTCCCCTACTGTCTTTGTAGACACAACTCATCCAGATGGTGATCTGGATGCTTCAGCATAGGCTTCTGATCCAACTGCATACATATGTTTGCCTGATGGTGCCCCCCAACGAAGAAGAGAGTCGAACACGAGAGGAGGATGTCCCCTTCACCGCCCGCGTGGGAGGCAGAAGCCTCAGCACACCCAATGCCCTGAGCTTTGGCTCACCAAGTAGGATCACCTCTCTTGATACTCTAGCTTTGCCTCAGAAAGGGGGAGGGAGCCTATCCCCAGGAAGATGTGAGGAGTGGCCTGATATCGAGACTCCCACCTCTCATGTCCCTGGTCTTGGGAACTGGGATAACTGGACAACTTGGTTTGGGTGTGCAGGTGTGTACTCAGTAGGGAGCAAATACTTGTGATTGCCGGCCTTCTCTTCAGAACTCCTTCCAAGCTCACTGCAGCGTGTGCCTATTCTCAGGAACAGCCTAAGACCCCATGGGGAATGTTCCCCTTTGTGTACATACTCTCCCAGTCCTTTGCTCAATCCTCAGAGCTCCAGAGGGAGTGAAGCCAAACTGCTTCTTAGACAGCCTGGACATGGGCTCCAAGCTTTCTCATTTTAGTTTCATTTTAGTCACCTCTGACTGACCCCTCCTCCCTTGGGTATCTTCTATAAGTTAGCTGAAGAAGTACAATTTTATCCTGATCTCAGGAGTATTAGGAACTCCTGGGGCTGGGAGGGGCCTTTCCTCTGTCACTGCCTATGCCCTTTCAAACCAATGAGTCATAATCATTTTAAAGAAAGGATTTACGACCTTCTATAGTAATTGATCAGTTAGCATTTTCTGTATCCTCCGGAGTACTTTGCTGCAGCTCATCTAAAGCTCTTGCTGCGGCTTGAGGCTGGGTTCTCCCCTTTTTGGTCTTAGGCAGAGACTCCATTACCTTGGAGCCCATCCTGGACCTGGAGCTCCCCTCTGCTTTCCTCTGACTGGCACAGGATGTGTCTGGCTGCAAGTCTGTAAGGCCAGGACTGAACTAATTAGAAAGCACTGTACAAAAGCACTTGCTCCTTAAAAATAAGATTGCTGTTATTTTTGCTATTGATAACTCACAAGATTCCCAGAGTCCCAAACAACAGCCCCCACAGTAACCCTGGGAAGTTGGTGGTACAGATATTGTTAATCCCTATTTTCAAGACAAGGAAGCTGAGGGTCAGAGGAATGAAGTCACTTGCCCATAGTCCTATAGCTCTAAGTGCCAAGGCTTGGCTTTGACCTTAAGTCTACATACTCCAAGCCCAGCACTGTCTTCTCTCTACGAAGCATCCTGAGATAAGCCTGTTGGGCTGCTAGAAGAGCAGGATCTTTAGGGGGTATGTCAAGAAGTCCCATGGTCTGAGCAGGGGACAACCTGGAAACAGCTAAGCCAAGGGCTGGGGAACAAGGAACTAGCCATCAGATTTTCTTCACATTCATAGAGAGGATAGTTGAAACAAACCTGTCCCAGAGTACTTTGTTTGAAGAGATACTGATCTCCAGAAGTCCTTCTCAAAAAAAAAAAATACCAGCCAAACTACCTTTTCGTTCAAGCTGAGACTGATTTTGTAACAACTCATTAGAATACATGGATTTCAGTGAATATATTCCTTTCCAAGGTATGCTCAAACTCTATCCGTGTTGGTGGTGTTCAGAATTCTTAGAAATGCCATGAAAGCCCATTTAGGAGCCACACAAGAGAATCGGTTTCATTACTTTAGATTCATACTTCTTTAAAACAAACAAATCCAAAAGTTGTATTTCCCACCATGATCCTTGTATTTGCCAAACTTGGCTCCAAAAAAACACTGAGCTATTTCCAGCCTCTCCCCACCAAAGTTGAAGATGTGCTATCATCAAAAATAATTTCAACTTCAGTGTTCACTAGGCTCTAAAGGTAATTTCCACATAGAATTTCGCAAAAGTTCTGAGCAGTAGCAGTCAGCTTTTGTACTAAATGCATAGCTTCCCAAAGGGGCCACTTGGAAGGACAACACTCAGATTCAGTTCTGAATGTTTTTTACAAAATCAGTCACAGCTTCTAGGGTGGAAACTTAAGTCTGCAAAAGAAAGTTCTGAGCTCCTTATACCAGAATTCCCTTGTGATCCTTTTCCTTATCTTTAAAGATGAGGAAATGCCTCTTTGTTTCTCAAACCTACCATTGTAAGACAGTGGTTAGGACTTGTTTCTATTCTAGGACTTATCTGTGATCCTTAGGATCATAGGTTTAAAACTGAAAGGGACCTTAGAAATCATCTGGTCCAATCCCCCAGAGATTAAATAACTTGCCAGAGGTCACACAGATTGTTAGTAGCAGAGTCAGAATTTGAACCTAAGTTGTCTGATTCCAAATCCAGTGCTCTTTTCATTGTCTTTTGTCAAACTGTGTCATGTATGTTTCAGGAATTTAGAGAGACTTTAAAAAATCCTAAAATACAATTAATTTGCAGGTCCATAACCTGCAACCCACTTCCCCTAAACCAGACTCCCTTTCCAGTGACCTCACCTTGGCTTCTGTGGTTCATATTACTTGCTTCCTTCCCCTACTGCTACCCGTATACCATGTACCTGTTATCTCCTCCATCAAAATTCCTTGGTGGGGGGCAGCTAGGTGGCGCAGTGGATAGAGCACCAGCCCTGGATTCAGGAGGACCTGAGTTCAAATACAGCCTCAGACACATAATACTTCCTAGCTTTTTGACCCTGGGCAAGTCACTTAACCCCAAATGCCTCACTTAAAAAAAAAAATCCTTGGTGGACACAAGAGAAGGAGTTGCTAATTCCAGCTCAGATGGCTGTGTAAAACAGCTGGCCTTCAGGGGAACATGCCAGTGAGGGAAATGGCAAAAGCAGGAATATCAAAAGAGTTGGCTGTCCTTGGGGATGGGGAGATAAACTGGACCAGTCAGGATGTGGCTTCTTCTGGGCACTCCTGTTAACAAAGATGTGGTCTGTTCAGAGACTGGAAGAGAGTGCACATGCCGCCAAGAGGAATAAGACAAGGCACAACAGCTTTTGTCTTAGTTCTCAGAGAGGCCTTGGCCTCACTTAGTCCTGTCACAGAAAAGTATAAGGTCCTATCACCTGACCCCATGTTCTTTCCTATAGCCAGCAGTGATGACATGACCCTCACAAGTCCCAGTATGGAGAACTCCAGTGCTGAGCTGCTCCCCAGTGGAGACTCCCCACTGAATAAAAGGATGACTGAGAATCTGTTGGCCAGCTTGTCAGAGCATGAGCGGGAAGCCATCCTCAGTGTCCCTGCTGCTCAGAACCCTGAAGATCTCCGCATGTTTGCCAGGTGGGAGCTTTGGTGTAACCAAGTAGTTAGAACTTTACTCATTAGACAATAAGGAGTTGAAAGACTTTTGAGCAGATTAGTGACTTGACAAAATGCATGCCTGTAAGACTGACCTATAAGCAGTCTGGAGGATGAACTGGAGTTGGGGAGAAAATGGAGGTAGAAAAACATGTTAGATGGTTGTTGCTATAGTTCAGGGAAGTATATTATAGCCTCAACTAAAGTGGTCATAGCTTCACATATTTAGAGCTGGAAGGGACCTCAGTGGTCAATGAGTCCCATCCCCTCACTTTGCAGATGAGGAAACTGAGGCCCAGGGCAGTTAAGTGACCTTCCCAGGGTCACACAGCTAATAAGTGTCTGATGTAAGATCTGAACTCTGTTCTTCCTGATTCCTAAGTCCAGCATTCTATCCACTATGCCAGGTGGCATGGGAATAGAGAAGAGGATGCAATAGTTAGAGCACAGAGTTAGAATTGATAAAGTTTAGACTTGATAGGAAAATGAAAAGTCAAAGCTACCCCAAGATTAGGTATATTGACAGCAATAACGAAGTCAGCAAAAACCTAACTTTGAACTGTGGAGTGTCAGGTGTAGGTCTGGCTTATAATTCAATCAAATTCAACAAACATTTGTTAAGCATGTACTATGTGCTGGACCCTGGCTTTTGGGTGAGAGGTACAGATTTGGTCAGGGAATCTGAATAGAGGGGATAGTTGAAGCAATGCAGAGTGGTTGGGCTAGATTATTCTTAAAGATATTTATAGTTCTAACATTTAGTGACTCTCCTTGTGCAAAACATTGACCATTCAGTTGGAAAATTAACCCTTCATTTTAAAAGTCAACTTTAAGAATAAAAAAGGACCAGCTGTTCCCTAGAGCTCGTATTGAAATCCTGCAGGAAGGTCTGTTTCTATATGCATTAACCCAAGGTCTAGGCTGTTAATCAGGTCCAGATCCTGCTAATGCCATTTGGTTTTTCACTCATAGGGAATGGCAGAGTAATGAGTAATTGTTTACCTTAGAGAAAATATACATCAGTGCCTCATTTCTAGCAGTTTTGAGGGTTTCATTTCTGTAAAAAGAGGAATTAATTTTAGGTACACTAACATTTAATTGGGTTGCTATGCTAGCCTGTCTTAGAAAAGTCATTTCAAATCCATCTTTCACCTGTGGCTGCAGGTTATGAAGGAACAAATATCATTTTGATTTTCACCCACTTTCTCAGGAACACACCTGCTGTATAAAGTGAGGTATATTTGTCCATGGGTTAATAAGAACCTAGGAAGGGAATGTAAACCGCCCCCCCCAACTCCCATGCCTAACAGATAAGCGTCTCTGCCTGACTTCTACATGCCTGTGAATCTACGTATGACCTAATGGAAAAACAAAAACATTAGATTAAGAGTGAAGAGAAATGGGTTCTGGTGTTGACCCTGCTACTAAATTGTATATAGCCTTAGGCAAAATCACTCATTTCTCTGTCTCATTTTCCTCACTTTTATTTGTTTAGTTTTTTGTTTTTAGGCAATTGGGGTTAAGTGACTTGCCCAGGGTCACCTATCTAGTAAGTGTCAAGTGTTTGGTCTGAGGCCAGATTTGAACTCAGGTCCTCCTGACTTCAGGGCCGGTGCTCTATCCACTGCACCACCTAGCTGCCCCATTTTCCTCACTTTTAAAGATGACTCTGCCCTCCCTAATTCAGGATAAAATGGTTAATAAGGAGGTGAGACAGACCAAGCATGTTTGGGAGACAGAAATAGGGGATGCTAAATTTAGAAAGATCTATGAAAAAATTAGGTTCCATATCAAAATTAGGTATTTGGTACATACCTTTTGTTGGCAGGGTAGAAAAGATTGTCAGTCCAGTCCCTTTAGCCATCCACTGTCACATGCTAATGCAGGGAGAGGCGGCATGGCATAGTGCCTAGAGAACTAACCAGATGAGAGAACCTGTGGGAATGCTCTTCAGCATTGTCGTTATCATTATAATTGAGAGCCAGGAAACTCTGAGGACCAAGTTCAAGTCCTACCTCTGACATATACTGGCTGTGTGGGGTGTATGGGCTAGTCAGGAGACTAGCCCCTTTGATGTGAAGGCTCATTCACCCAACTCTCAGCCATGGCTCCAAGAAGCTGTAGAATAGGCAGCAGCCACACCCCAGCAAAACCCTTACAATAGGCGGGCTAAACCAGGTTGAGGGGACAGGCTTCAAACCCATTGGTGAGTTGGGGGTGTCTACCGCAGGCATGTGGGATGGGCAGAAAATAATTTGTTCCAGTGGTCATGAAGGTGGCTGAAGCAGGCATCGAGGAGAGCTTAGAGCTTAGTCAGACACTGAAGATGCCAAGGCCACACTGCGTCCTGGACCATTACCAGTCATGCTGACTTTTGTCCTGCCACTGGACTTCAGTGACTCTGGAAGAGAGAGTGAGACTGATGACTGCAACTCTGCCTCATTAAATACAGTTCACAAGTGTGTCAAGACATCACCCTGTGATGTGATTCATCTTCTTCAAAAATGAAAGATGAACAGCAACTGGCTGTGTGACCCAGGGCAGGTCACCAAACTTCCCCAGGGCTCCAGGCACAAAAGACTGTAAATTGCAGGGTAGGTGCTAGCCTGTAAATTCACTTCTCACTGGACATTCCCTGCAGCAGTGAAATCACAGGTCCTGTACCTGTCCCTGTTTCATGCTAATGCAGTTTGTGTTCCTTGAGTACCTGCCAGCTGAAAAGAGACAGGGACCCACAGGTGTGTAAATGACAGAGGGAAACCAGCATGGTTGTGAACATATGGAAATGGGCACTAGTGGAAAGAGCCCTAAAAGATGTGGATTTGAATATCAGTTCTGGCACTTTACATAATACCACTTATTTGTTATATGGGCCTTGCTTTCCTCTTCTGTGAAGTAATGGGGGTTGGACTAGATGAAGGCCCTACTGGACTTCATCTGAGAACTGGAGTTCTCAGATTATGTATTATTTTGTCATCCTAGACTCTTACTGCTTAGTCAGGCCTAGTGGGCCCCAGCAGACAGTTTAGAGAAAACAAATTAGGGAGACAGCAACCACGTCCTGAGCCAAATCATCTCAGTTGTGTAGCTTTGAATGTGGGTGGGGAGGAATGACCCATCAGGGGATCTGAAAGAAATCTTCAGACCATGAGTTTTCTTTCCACCTCATATCCCCCTCTCAACTCTGTGCCTGCTCCAGTGAAGCTCTTCAGCTCAAGTATTTCCCTTTCCTTTCCTTTAGTCTGAGTGGTGCTTGGATAGATGTTATTCTGAGCTTGCTCTTTATGCTGTGTGACCTTGCTGAGGAATCTGAATGAGTGTGAAGGGGCAGTCCCAAAGTACCCTCTCTGAATAGCTCAGGGCAAGTGGGAGGGTAGCACAGAAACTATCAGAGCAAAAAAGGCTGGTGGTGTCAACTTTTCCCCATGAAATAGACTCCTGAATATATACCACCCCACTTACTGAAGAACAGAGGGCCTTCTTATCTAAAGCCAGTTCAGCCCCAGCCCCCAGGACTGCTTGGGGGAACAGGGAAATGTTGCAGGAATGCCAGTAACCTCCCCTGGCAGCATTAGCTGTCTAGAGGGAGTGCTGGCACTTCCATTTTATGAAGGAGGACAAGAAATAGGACCTAAAAATCCTGAGTGAAGTTCCCAGAAAGACAACCCTCTGTCAGAAGCGCCCTGCCTGATGACAGGCACAAATCCCATAACCCTCTGACTGAAGGAAGGGGGAAAATGTGTGCATCTTTCTCCCTGCTTCCTGCTGTGTGCCTACCTTTCCTTAGACTCTGTGTGTACTGGGAGCTCAGAGGGAGAGAAATGTACAAGTTATTGTCATGCTTGACATTTAGCATAATATGAAGCAGAAGTCTAAAACAGCAAGAGGTGAGGTAGAAAGAAACCTGTGAAAGACCTGAGTCTTGATATTTTTTATTTTTTATTTTTTCCAGTTACATGTAACAGTAATTTTTTTTTTTTAGTGAGGCAGTTGGGGTTAAGTGACTTGCCCAGAGTCACACAGCTAGGAAGTATTATGTGTCTGAGGCCAGATTTGAACTCAGGTCCTCCTGACTCCAGGGCCGGTGTGTAAAAATAATTTTTAACATTCTTTTTTTAAATTTTGAGTTACAAATTCTGTACCTCCCAGGCAAGTAATTTGATATATATTATATGCATTTAGTTATGTTGCAAAAGAAAACACAGACCAAAAGAAAAAAAAAATAGTTTTTTTTTAAAAGTATGCTTCAGTCTGCAATCAGATGCCATCAGTTCTTTCTCTTGGAAGTGGATAGCATTTTTCATCATAAAATTATCTTGTCATTTCATATACCACAACTTGTTCTGCCATTCCCCAGTTGATGGGTATCCCCTCAATTTCCAATTCTTTGCCACCACAAAAAGCTGCTATAAATATTTTTGTACATATAAGTTCTTTTCCTTTTTTTTTAAATCTCTTTGGGATATAGACCCTAGTAGTGATATTTCTGGGTCAAAGATATGCAGTTTTGTAGCCCTTTGGGCATAGTTCCAAATTGTTCTCCAGAATGGTTAGATCAGTTCACCGTTCTACCAACTGCATTAGTGTCCCAGTTTTTTTCTGCTTAATTTCCTCAGTTGTCAGAAATAATCATTTCTGTATTACGAGATGATATATGTTCAAGCAATTTTCAAATTTTATAAAAAGCACTATATAAATGCCAGCATGATAAATAGTGATTGGAAAAAGCCAGACTTATCCAGGAAAATCTGGGTTTAAGTCCTGATTTCTACTTCATCCTGGCTGGGTGACCCCAGGCAAAGCACTTTAACTTTGCAGGGTCTGAGGAAACTCTCTAAAAGTTGCGGGGGTTCCCTGTGCCAATGACATCACAAGTTCAGTCCAAAAATAAGATTTCAGTTATTATTATCTCTGACCTGTCTATCTGAGAGGGTGGGTGGTTATAAGAACTAAGTGAGAGAAGGCTACACAAACATTTTCATTATTATAGTTGAGGCCACAGAGGCTACCTAGAATAAGGGTATGAACCACCAATAGGTGGACAAGGCCAGCAGATATCTTACGGCATCCTACTGTAGACAGAGCATTGGCCCTTAAGTCAAAGGACCTGTATTTAAATCCTACCTCTGACGTTTATTACCTCTGTGACCATGAACAAGTCATTTAACCTCACTGGGTCTCAATTTCTTAACAGTAAAATGAGTGAGTTGGCTCAAAAGATGACTTTTAAGGTACCTTCTTGCTCATGATCTATGATTCTATGATCTGGGAAGGGCCTCTCTGATGGAAAGTGCTGTCAAGCAGCTCTGAGGTGCATTTACTAATTTATTCTTCCCTCTTAGGCTGTTACATTATTTCCGGGGACGCCATCACCTGGAAGAGATCATGTACAATGAAAACATGCGACGATCCCAACTGCTGATGCTCTTTGACAAGTTCCGAAGTGTGCTGGTGGTCACCAACCATGAGGACCCAGTTATCTCAGTTTTCCAGTCACTTCTAAAATGAGTGGGAAGTAAGCCCCCTGCTCAGAGAAGCACTCACCCTAGAGAATTCTTTGAGCCACCAAGGGCCAGAGGGGATGGGGAGGCATTCCACAAAAGAGTGGCGACCTTGGGACCATGGTTGGTTTCCTCTCAGGCTCTAAGTTGGCCCTTCCTGTTATTCCTGCTTTTGAGAAGCAGAGTGACTGTGTGGGTTCCTAAGGAGTACAGTATTAGTGGGATCGAAAGGCCCACTTATTTGGACCTTGAATTCTGGATGTAGGTGGAGGGAAGGCTATTTGGTGGCTCAGTTAAGCTTGAGGAAAATGCCCTGAAAATAACATGACTTTAACTCACATGCTAGCTTCCTAATCTGGAATCAGCTATAGGCTCTAACTCGGCTTGAGCCTGCTGCTAGACTGTGGCATGGTGACTCCCTCCAACCACCAGCCCTTCTTCTTAGCTTGGCAGTCATTCCTGGACCTGTGGCCATCCTATATATTTGATGGTTATCAGCCTAGGGTTGGTGGGGTGGGGAAAGCTGAGAGGCCTTCCTTTCCCTGCTTGAGTAGTATATGATTTTTGTAAGGTTCTCTTAAAGGCTAATCTTCCCCAATCCAACCGTGGTGCAGCCCCAGGACTAAGGGGTTGAGAATGCTGTAGGAAAATAAAAGAGCCAGGAGTTAGCTTTCTAGCTGCTCTGTCTCATGCCTTTCCCCTGTCCTTTATAATTATCATTCAGCAAGGAGCGCCCTCCCCCCCTTTAAAGGGGGGGGCATAACCCCTTGATCAGTTCCCCTCCCATTCTCATAAAACCATTATAGAAAACGTGGCTTAACCCTTTGGACCCTTCCCATGCAGATTGGCCTGAATGCCTTGACAGTGAGGGGCTGCAGCTAGCCAGGAGACCCATAAGCTTTAGCATGAAGGCAATGGGAAAACAAGAGTTTCCTTCCATGCTGTGGCAGTCACCCCTGATGAGATTTACAGCCAATTAGGTCGTTTTTGTCAGAGCCTCTCCCAGACTCTGTCTGTGGAATAAGTACATTTCTATGCTGTTATGGTAAAATGCTTAACTAGGCAGTGACACCGGGGCCTCTTGATGTTAGATGGTTTTTGCATCATCTGGAAAGCTGGCTAGGTTATCCCTGGGCCAGCAGTATTGAAAACAGCTCAGTGTCTGCCCTAGGCTCCCTGGGAAAAACCACTTTGGTCCCCAGGGCAGACCCCTTACAAGGCCTGCCAGGACATCTTGGCAACCAGCAAGGATGGCAGCATCAGGGCTACAGAAAAAAAGGAAGACCATGGCCCAGGTTGTGGCTTTGGTGGTATCTTCAGATGCCCAGGGCTTCTGTCCTGCTGTTTGGGCAAGGCCACAGATGCCTGCAAGCAGAAAGTCAAATTGCTTTAAAGGAGATTGCTTAGGTACGCCTAAGCCATGGCTTAGAGGCCATGCTGGCAAGAGCCACAGTCTCCCTGAAAGCTGCTGACTTTCTTGCCCTAAAACACCACATCAGGGGGGGAAGAAAAAAAAAGAGAGACACTAGTATATACATGACTCACCTAACATTGTTTTGTGGAAACAAGAATTTATTTTTCTAAACCTCTAAAAATCTTTGCTGTAGCCTAGTCAAGCCATGACCTTTGCACAACAGGGGCTCAAGCTTGCAAGTGCTGAATTCACCAGCAGCAGCAGCAGCTTGGCTTCCCTAGCTGGGCCTTAGCCACTGGCCTGCATTTCCTGTTCTACCTTTCGATCTACCACACTGACATAAGGGTTGCCTTGGATGTAGAATCTGAGTGGCTTTAGGGCCCACTCTCCAGCATAGTTGATACCAATCCTGGCTGCCGCCACCACAGTATGTTCCCCTGGCCTTTCAGGGCCCTGCTCCAGCCAAATGGCCTCCTCTTCTGCCAGGTCCCTCTGGTCAAAGCTCTTGTCAATGGCCAGGGCTTGACATAGCTTAGAGGGGCCATTGCAAAGTTCCCGGTCCTTGAGGGCCCTGGCTGCTCCTTTTCGGTGGGCATTACGAAGCTGCCGCATCATCTCCAAGCCTTCCACTGGCTCCAGGGAACGAAGAAGGATGCACGCCCCTTCACCTGCAGACAGCAAGCACAAGCCTTGAGTGTGAGGAGGATTTTTGAAGAATTTCTGCTAGTGGATCAAAGTGATGAAAGGTGGTCAGAACCCTCCCGCTCTCAGACAATGCCCAACTGTGGTATCCTTAGATAAGGGTGGGAAATTGCTGGCTGGAAATTAATCTGGCAAGAGCAATGACTTGTTATTCTATTTTCTCAAAACAGTGAAATACATTTTTAGCCTTGCTAATTAGTTCATAAGTTTTTATTTCAGTACTATGAGCCATCTATCATGAGAGGGAGACCTCTTGACTACATCTCCTCCTGATCTTTCCTCCTCCACATCCTCCCCTTACGCTCATCAAAACAGAACAGCAAGTCACAGACGACACAGGGGGGAAACTGATGAAAACCAGGCCCCAAACCAAAGCTCCTTCCTCATTCTTTAGGGGAAGAAAGTGTCTTTGGTATGAATGCTCTGTTAGAGGCAAATCAACGATTAGGAAAGAAACTAAGCCAAGACTGTGAACACCAGGCTACAGAAATCTTGGGTGCAAGGGACACATTTAACAGGTGATGTGTGGCTTTTATGGGCCTCATAACTCCACATACCCAAATCTGGGACATATTCCCCTGTGCCAAGAGATCAAGGCTTGCCAAAGAGGGACAACAGAGAGAGAGAACCTGAACGTTAGACTCTGTCATAAAATGGGCTGGTATGTTGGCTCTGATGTATGTGTGACTGAACAGTGCAAATCTGTTGGGTTTTTTTTTTTAAGGTAGTTGGGGTTAAGTGACTTGCCCAGGGTCACACAGCTAGTAAGTGTCAAGTGTTTGGTCTGAGGCCAGATTTGAACTCACTCAGGTCCTCCTGACTTCAGGGCCAGTGCTCTATCCACTGTGCCACCTAGCTGCCCCACAAATCCATGTCTAGGTTTTATTTTCCTCATCTATAAAATGAGGGGTGGAAGGTAGTTAGATTGATAGGGTTTCATTTAGTACAAAAAGCCTGATTCTCTAATCCCATACTAGCATTATAGTGGTACAGATAGAAAAAAGGCCTCTAAGTCTGGATGGGTCAAATTTTGGAAAAATCCAGCTTCCATGTGAGTTTTAAGCATAATATTTCTGTTATAGTCAGCCTCCCAAAAGATTCTTGATCTATACCATCTGTGAGGCCAGCACAGCAGATCTCAGGAGGCCTTACTCCCTTGTCCACACCCAAGGCTTCAGCCTCCAGCCCTGAGCTTACCAACCCCAGATTATTTTCCCAACAAATAAAGCCATCCGGAGCCCCAGACAGGCGCCGCTTGTTGGGGAAAGCACTGGCTAGAAGGTTTCCAGTCTATGTCTCACCCACATGTCATCTAACCTCTGTCCTGACTGGGCCAAGTCAGAGGAGCTGATCGAATCAGAAGAATGTCACTAGAGTGATGAATGATAGAAAAAGGTTCTTCTCCCCAACACCTTTCCAAAGTGTACCAAATGAAAGGAACACTACACAAACACATCTACCCTCATAAGGAGCAGAGAAGCAGGTGCCATCTGCCTAGTGCCTTGGAATTTAGGCCAGGGTTTCTAGGATCACATGTGGCCCTTTGTTGTCAAGCACTGGGCATTTGTGTGAATCAGGTTAAAAAAGGCAGGATGTCTTTGCTGGGACATGGAAGAAGAGGATCTCTTCTGAATTTAGCTTTGATGCTTAGGGGACCAGAAAATAGCTAGGTGATCTCTTTAGGTACTTCCTTGAGTAGAAGAATGGAAGGAGTATTGTAATCAGAAAGCTTGGGTCTGAATTCGAGCCCCATCACCATTTCATGGGGGTGACCTCCAAGCAAGTCACTCCTCTCTGAGCCTCCCTCTTCCAGCTCTAAATCCTATGATCCTTTATGACTTTTCCTGCCGGAGTCACAGTTTGCTCAGGTATAAAGTTAGGATAATGCCAGTAGGGCTGCTGAGGCAAGTAATATTATCCTCATGAAGCCCAGAGTAGAGTGTCATGTCAGCACAGCAGTGATAGGGCTAAGATGGGAATTCCCTCATTCACACCCTCTGATGGGGTGTGCCTTAATCTGGAATACAGCTTAGACCCCCTCCTCCCTTCCCCTCCATTCCATCCTCAGTCAGCCAGTCTTCCCAGACTCATCCACACCCCCACCCTGAGGGACCCTTCCTGCTGCCTCAAGGGTATTTATTCCTCTAGGTTTGCCCACTGACCGAGAACTAAAGGCTCACATGTGGAAGGAGAAAGGTACAAATCCGCAGCCTGTAAGGGGGAGCCAATGCCTTGTCAAAATACCTTTTGTTTTCAACTAAACCAGAACCTCTATTCATATTCTCTCATAAATTTACCAACACCCTCCCACTTGGCTGCCCTGACAGGCTAAGAGACTCCTGACAGGGGACACAGCCCCTAGGGGACAATCAGGCAGGCTGAGTTCAACGGAGCTCTCACGCTCAATCCAGCCTCTGGCTGACAAATTTGAGCTGCTTGAGAACAGGATATTCCTGCCCCTCCACCCCTGTGACTCACTGCCCTTGCTGCCTCCTTCCCCCAGCATCAGCCTCCTATGGGGGCCTTGTGCCTCTGCCCCACAGTAGACTGTACTTCCCTTTTACTTGTTCAGAAGAAATCAGGGTAAAACATCCAGCAGAGCTAAAACCTTGGGAAACTCATAAAGTGAGCAAATCTCCCGGTACAGACTGGAAAATATAGAAAGAAGCTGGTAATCTTGGCCTGGATGTGTCTGTAAACACCCCCTCTGCAGCCAGTTTTCAAAGAATGTAAAGATATGATCAAGGCCAGCAAAGCCTTGAAATTCTAGCTCCTCCGCAAATACTTCAGCAGTTCTTCAACTGCTTGTTCACATCCAGGTTTGTCTGGTGGTGGCACGGCATCAAAGGGCAGTGCCTGGCCCGGTGTCTGAGGGAAGCCAGGCTTAGGGTAACAGCAGCACCTCACCCCACACCGTGACGGGGCCATGCTCCTGTCCGGGGGGGACATTTCCTGGCCATAGAATATGTTCACTGCTGGGCCTTCTATAAAACCTTAAGTGCTGGGACAATTTTCTGTTCATCGTCAGCTCCCCATCCCCAAAGCTGGGGACCTCCTAGAGAGAGAAGGCAGAAATGGAGGGCTATGGAAATGGGGATCTTGCTTAGTGTCATACAAGTAGGCCAAGTCTAGTTTATGGTCCTTCAGTGAACTCTCTTCCAAAACAGATCCCCAACACCCCACCAACTTTCTTGACTCTCTAAATGGCACCACCTAACGTCCTCTCAGATTCCCAAATCCAAGAATCCCAATTCCTTTCCTATAGCCAAATTTTCTCAAATCTCCTTATGATAAGACTCCTCCTCTTATAACTGACACTGGCCATCCAGCTTTTCCTTGAAGGTCTCCAAAAGGGGATGCCATTCCCTCCTACTAAGGCAGCCAATTCTACTTAACAATAGCTCTTACTATGAGGAAATTTCTCCTTACATCATACCTAAATAGATCTTTTTCCAAGTTTCCTATCTTCTAGGGCTCAACAGAATACGTAGGATCCTTCCATGTATCTGTAAATATCTGAAGATAGGTATCGTGGTGCCTTCTAAGTCTTCTTGAGGATCGACACCCCTGGTTCCCACAAACAAATCTTCACCATTATGGATGCCCTCTGGATGCTCTCCAGCTTATGAGTAATCTATCTTTGTTATCTTGTGCTTGTAAAGTGAATTTAAAAAAACAAACCACTCAAATGTAAGACTTTACATTTATCTCTAATATGTCTCATAAATCATCCAATTTTCTCTGCCACCACACCCTCCTTTACTGAGGTCCTCATTACCCCTTGCCTGGACTACTGTAATAGCTTCCTAACTTGTCTCCCTTACTCTAGTCTCTCACTATCTAATCCATCTTAATGAACCGCTCTGAACTCAAACACTTTCAGTAGCTCCCTACTTTAAGTCTAAGATGCTCAGTCTGATCCTACCCTACCTATCAATTCAATAAATTAAGCCCCTCTAAGATGGAAGGCACAGTACTAGGAGGGTATGAGGAGCAAAATAAAAACAGCCTCAAGGCACTTGATTTCTACTGGAGGACTACGATGTATGTGCAGAGAAGTAAACACAAGTAATATGAAGAGAATACAACTACCCTAGGAACAGGAGATGTACAGACTTATCTCCTGCCACTGAAAAGGTGATTATAGTTCTGCCGATTAGGTCTTCTCATAATCTCACCAACACACATCAAACTTGTTCCCTTTTTTTTTCCCCCTTTGGTCTCACTATCTCCTTACTCTCCCTACCTGGTTTGCATATCCAAAACTTGAAGAACCATTCCTTGCCCTGACCAAGGGCCAGCTGCCAATGCTGCACCTCCTGTCCATCTGGTTTGCAACAGGAAGGAATATACATTCATTCCCAGAACCCCCTCAAGCCAGGGAGCTCATCAGTGGGGAAGGATTTGGGATTCTGATCCTTCCATTGTTCTGCTGTAGACTTCATAGACCTTCTCAGAAAATGAGCTAATGAAGACCGTAAAAGCTAGGCCTCCTGGGAAACCAAAGTATCATCCCCAGAGACTGCCTCTAGGGACCCTATCCATTTCATAGAGACTGGGCCAAGACATCCTACACACCGCACAATGGAGGAAGCAAGGCTTTATGACTAGCAGTCAATCTCTGTGTCTACTATCACAATATGCTATGTCCCTCCAGGCTGCCATTCTGACCTGCCGAGGAGTCAAAAAGTCTCAGCCCTCAGTGCTGCAGAGGTCAGCTGTCAATGCAGAATCCTCTCTTTGATGCTATTCTTTTTAGTCTATGAGTAAGCAAAACATGCTCTACTATTTCTGGCAGTGCTATGTGTCAAACCAGAGTCCTGTAGCTTTGGCTTAACCATACTCAAGCAAAAGGATAATTAGTAATCATCAAGATCATTTATTATCACCATTGGAGACTTTGTGACTCGCCTAAAGGATTCAAGGTCCTCTAACTGTTGCCTGACCCTTGGTAGGTGTCTGGAAGGCAGAGGTGACTCTATCTATTGAACAGATAGAGAACCCAAGGCCTAAAGAAGCCAAGAGAGAGATCTCTTTGCTAAGGTCATGTGGCATTTAAAACCTTTCACAATAACAGCTACTCACATTCCTATAGTATTTTATAGCTTGCAAAACACTTTCTTTTCCAGAAAGAAATAATGCAACTATTATTTCTTCATTACAGGTGAGGAAATGGAGGTTCAGAGAAGTGACAAGATTTAACCCAAGGTCCCACAGCTAGTAAAGTATGTGGCAGAGCTGGGCGTCAACCTGGGCATTCTGACTCTAAAGCTGATATTCCTTCCAGTACAACCATTGTTGTTCTCTGGCCTCAGCCTTTTCCAACTTCCTCTCCTCTACCCTGACACACACCATATGCTCCCATAAGATGGTCCTCTCTCTGCCTGGAGGAAATATGATGGAGAAGCAGAAGCTACCCTTGGGCTGAGAATGTCCACATTCACCCACTGAGGCCATTCTTAGATGACAGCTACTCCAACCTTTTGATTTTTAAAGATGGAGAACAGAATGTTAAGACTGAAAGGAACCAACTGTATCATTCTATAAAGAGAAACAGGCCCATCAAGGAAAAGTGACTTACCTAAGAAAGTATGTCACTACAGAGCTGGCCAGTAACAGGGCTGAGACTCCTAGCCCATGTGTTTTAGATTATCCTGCCTGATTTCTTTTAGATCCTGAAGCCTGATACCTTCTACCTTAGGCCCATGAATATGGTGGTTTTAATAGTAGGCTACTTGCCCCCTGAGGGCAACAGGGAAGCCAATATGTTCTATAGTCTGAGGTGAAGAAAAGGAACGGAGAATGGGGTAAGAGAGGCTTGAGCTCTCAGAAATCATGCCAAGGGACAAAGAGGACCACTTGAGGGCAGACAGGTCTGCTTGATGAAGATGGTTAACAGTGTGGCCCTAGGCTCAATGGGAAACCCAAAGTCATCCTCTGAATCCTGAGATACAACAGGGAAGGGTCTTGCCCAGACAACATCGGAACCACAGTAAACATCACAAAGAAGAGGGCTGAGCACAGGGCAAAGGAAGCACAGGAATGGAAAGGGAGTGGGAGGAAGATCAATGTGGGCATGCCCCTATTGTCCTCAGTCCTTCTCTTGCTCCTCTGCACAGGCACTGTTAGAATCAGTGTTCCTGGAGGCTTCACTATCTAGAGTGTTTATCCCTGTCCTTCAAACTGAGGGTAAAAAACAACATGGGAAGCGAGTGACCTCCCCTCCTATTCTGTAGACATCTTAAGTTCAATGTGGCCAAGACTTAACTCTTTCTTCGAAAACCTGTTACTATTCTGAACTTCCCTATTACTGCTGAGTTGCATCACTATCCTCCCAGTCCCCCGGGCTTGAAACCTAGAGGTCATTATCAACTCCTTACCCTCCCTCCCCATACCCAATCGATGGCCAAGTCCTATTGATTTTACGTTTGTAACATCTCCCACGTATGACCCTTCTCTCCTCTGACACTGCCACCACCCTCGGGTGGGTCTCGTCACCTCGCACCTGCATTACTGTAACAGTAGCTGGTGGCTCCAGCTGCCAAGTCCCTCCTCACCCCAGTCCATTCTCCACTCAGCTGTCAGAGTGATTTCCTTCAAGTGCAGATCTGACTATATTCAATAAACAGGCAGCTAGATGGCACAGTAGATAGAGCACCAGGCCTGGAGTCAGGAAGACATCTTCTTGAGTTCAAATCTGGCCTCAGACACTTACTGTGTGACCCTGGGCAAGTCACTTAACCCTGTTTGCCTCGGTTTCCTCATCTGTAAAATGAGCTAGAGAAGGAAATGGCAGACTACTCCAGTATCTTTGCCAAGAAAACCCCAAATGGGGTCACAAAGAGTCAGACACAACTGAAAATGACTGAACAACAAAATGCAATGAACTCTAGCGGCTCCCTAGCACCCCTAAGATCAAATACACGATATTCTGCTTGGCATTCAAAGCCTTTCACCACCTGGCCCCCTTCCACCTTTCCAATCTTCTCACACCTTCCTTTCTAACCCATGCTCTGTGATTCAGTGACACTGCCTTCCCTGCTATTCTTGACACATGACAACTCCAGCTCCTGCATCTTCACTGGCTGTTCCTCGTGCCTAGAATATTTTCCTTCCTCATCTCTACCTCCTGGTTGCCTGGCTTCTTTCAAATCCCAGCTGAAGTTCCATCTTCTATGAGAAGCCTTTTCTGATCCCCCTTAATACTAGTGACTTCCCTGTTGGTTTTCTCCAATACATACATACATATATACACACACACATATACATGTACACACATATACATATGTATACATATACATGTGCATATACATACATATATATTTTTTTATATATCTAAAATATATATAAAATGTTTGTACAGTTGTTTTTAGGTTCTCTCCCTCATTAGACTGGTAGAGACAGTTTTTTTGCCTTTCTTTGTAACCCCAGTGCTTAGCACAGTGCCCAGAACATGGCAGGTACCTTCTGTGGCTATGGGAAGGGAGCTGAATGGCATCATAGGAAGAGTGAGCTTGCACCTCTTTCTAGAGTCAGGGCTGGAGTACTAGCTCGGCAGCTCACTAGCAGCTTTGTGGCATGGGGCAAATCACTTTACTTCTCTGGAATCACTTTTCCTTGTCTGTAAAATGAGGATACTAAGCCCTGCCTTGCCTGTATCACAGGGTTGTTTTAAGGCTCAAATTAAAATGTATTTCAAAGTGCCATGCAAATGGTAAAGTCCTAAAAATTGTCATGCTTTATATGAGGTGCAGAACATTATAGAGCTGTGAGGGAGGAGACATTATTATAGCTCTAGTATGGGCCATGGGAGTTTCAGAACTAACACAAACATGTTAATTTGAGCTGAAACAGTGTCAAGAGCTAAAGATTGTCTCTAGAACAGGAGAAAGAGAAACTGTGTAGGTGGGCTGTGTAGGTAGGCTCTGAAACGCCTATCTTTGGCAGGAGGTGACCATGAAAAAGAATTTCTACCCACTTAGCCTAAGGAAGAAGGGACCAAGAAAAAGGATCAAGGGATTTCAGGGTCTCTGAAAGAGCAGAGTCAGAAAGAAATGGTTAACTGAGAAAGCTACAGGGTGAGAGAGCTAGAAGCTGGGGGCAGAGAAGAGGATCCCGGAATCTAACCAACAATTAGGAACTATCAAACTGATTAGCTTTGCAAGGGAAGAATTCAAAAGCTGAGGGCCTGAATAAGAACCCAGGCCTGTACTTGGGCGAGCCCCATGCGTGAGGAGAAAGTTTATAACATGTGTCTGACAAAAGGCCCTTAGCTTTCCTGGGAAATAGCTTCGGGAAGAGTCAGTGTAACTGAAAGTGCCTTTAAGAAACCCATTGTACTGAAGGGCTGTGGGGCCAGCACGTCTTTGGCTGTCTCGTTCTTGTGGGTTTGAGGGTTTGAGGCGCCCAGACCACACAGAGAGTTCATGAACATCACCCAACACACAGGTGCTGGGGGAGCCAAAGTGCTGATGAGACAACTTTCCTTTCAAATATTGTGTTCTTTTATTCCAAGCCCAAAGGAGAAAACCGGGTGTTTTCTTTCCCAAACAGAAGACAAAATTGGGAGCTAGCAGAATCCCATGTATAAACTTTTCCAGTCTCAAGGTTCCAACTCCCTTTACTTCTTTCACAATCACTCTCTTAAGGAAGCACCATAAATACATTTGTACTTTCCTTACATTATTTCATCTGATCCTCATTATAATCCCCGTGCATGAGGGGAAAAAGCTGAAAGTACTTGCTCCATTTTTCAGAGGAGGAAACTGAGGCAGGAACTGACATGCATATCAAGAAGACAGAAAGGGGTAAAACTGGGCTTTCCACCCAGGTTGTCTGACCATATATCTAGTGCTGTTTCCTGCTGCAGATCATTACCTCCTTACAGTCAGAAGATCTGGGCTGGAGTCTTGTTCAGGCCATTTACTACCTATGTGACTCTGTGCGAGTCACCTAACCTCTCTGGGCCTCAGTTTCCTCATTTGTAAAATAAAGCAATTGGACAAGATCAATGGTTCCCAATCTTTCGGATAAGGATCCCAGTGGGGGTGGAGGCACAGAAGGGTAAATCACACAGAGTTACTGAAAGGATCTTGAGATGCATGAAACACTCATTTTAATCTACATTTAGCTCTAATAAAATATGCAGCACGACTTGGTCTAATAAGTAAGAAAACAAACCTTCTGTAACCTGAATCTCACACACATATGTATTACTACTTTTCAAATGAATGTAGATGGTCTTGTGATTGAATAAAATATAAAAGTATCACTGAATTCACAGTAGCTTCTTGTCATCAGTTTCAGGCAGTACTAATGCAACTACTATACCATGGAGATCTGTGAATTTTTTTTTCATTAAAAAAGGGTTCTCATCCTCCAAAAGATAGGGAGCGTTCCACCTCTAAATTCCATGACCCTATGAACTTTCTTTTCCTCTTGTCTCAGAGGGTGAAATGGCTCTCCCTCTTCCTTGCCGTGGTTATATCTACCATCTGTGCCCTTGATTCTGAGATGTCATAGCATGAAATGAGCCTGGGGGCAGATACTGTTAATGTTATATAGGTATGCACCTTTATTTCTGGGGCCTACTGTCCCACTATTGCTGCCATCACATTTTTCTCCTGTTTTTTTGTCACATTCCAAAAAAATTGTTGGCCAGTATTCTTCTAAGTCCAGCTTGCATGGCCTTCTACTTCTTTAATCAAAAAACTCTGACATTCTCAATCTGGCTATAACCACCTTTCTTTCCCTCTCTCCCTGGGCCTCACACCTCCATTCTTTATCCTCTTCAAAACCTCCAATCCCTCCACCTCTCAGGCCATTGACCTTGCTCTGACTTCATTTTACTCTCTTCCTATAGTTAACAATCCTATAGTTAAACACTTCAGTTGCACACACTGTTCTTTGGTCTCAAATTCCTGGTCCCTTGTCCTGTTACTGTTCATCCCTTGCAAAACCCCAACCCTGGATTACTCCCACCATGCACCTCTTCCACTCCTACTCATTTATTGTTGGAAATAGCTACAAGAAGTCACACAACCTTGCTGACTGGGATGCACTCCAGATTTGTTATCTAGCCTCACCTGGGCTTGGCTGAAACAAGGCAATCTTTTTATTCTTTCCTAATTGATTCCCTATCTCACTCCAACAGAAGCTATTCCAAACCTCTTAAGCCTCTCACACTTTCCTCTCCCCAAGTCTCTCGGTTGAGGACCTCAACTCTTACTTTACCAAGAAAACTGAGGCCATTCACCCCCCTTCCCTCTCATCTCACATCTCTCTGACATCTTTCAATCTCTGCTTTTATCTAGTCCCTTATAATGAAATGGCACTTCTCTTAGCTAAGGCCAACCCCTCTTATAAATGTCTTTGATCATATCCCTTTCCCGTCTTCTGCAGTAATCATTCCCTCTCCCTTTCTAATCATCAATCTCTCCCTATCTACCGATTCTTCTGCTGCTTACAAACACACCCATCGCCCCCCCATCCTTAAAAAGTCCTCTCAAGATCCTACTATCCCCTCAAGCTATCTGTGCCAACCTCAGCCAACCTCCAAAAAGTCATTTATACTCTTTGCCTTCATTTTTTCTCCTCTCACTCCCTGCTGCTGCAGTCTGACTTTTGACCTCATCACTGGACTGAAATCGACCTCTCCAAAGTTACCAGCTCTCTTAATTGATAAATCTGTCTTTTTTTTTTCCTAGACATCATCCTTCTTTTTTTTTTTTTTGGTGAGGCAATAGGGGTTAAGTGACTTGCCCAGGGTCACACAGCTAGTAAGTGTTAAGTGTCTGAGGCTGGATTTGAACTCAGGTCCTCCCGACTCCAAGGCCAGAGCTCTATTCACTGCGCCACCTAGCTGCCCCTGACATCATCCTTCTTAACCTGTACCCTCTGACACTGCTGACCACCCTCTCTTCTTGGATATTTTCTTCCCTCTGAGCTTTTAATGACACTGCTCTCTCCTGGTTCTCTTCCTACCATATCTCAGTCTCCTTTGATGACTCATTATCCATGTCATGCCCTCTAACTGTATAATCCAAGGCTATATCCTGGGCCCTCTTCTCTCTCTATATTCCTACTTTTGGTGGCCTCATAAGCCCTTGTGAGTTTAATTATCATCTCTGTGAAGATCTATATATCTAATACCAGTCTCTCTTCTGACTTCCCGTCCCAATGCACCAGCTGCCTACTAGATATTTCTCCTGCATGTCCCAGAGATATCTCAAACTCAGCATGTCCAAAACAGAACTCATCCTACAGCCTACATCTAAACGTCGACCAAACTTTCCAAAGTATCACCTTTCTTTCAGTTTCCCAGATTTGTAACCCCAATGTCACCCTAACTCTTCACTATCATTCAACCTTTGCCAAATATCGTTGTTTTTATTTCTACATTTCTTACAATCTCTCCCCTTTCCTTTATTCACAGTTGCCCCCTTAGTTCAGCTCCTCACCACCTCTTGCCTCGACTGTTGCAATGGACTCCTAATCGGTCTCTTTTCGTCATGTCTCTCCCCACTCCAATTCATCCTTTACATGGCTCCTCAGGTGATTTTCCTAAAGCTCACCTCTGACCGTGGCACTCCCACACTGAATGAACTCAAGTGACTGCTGGTGCCTCTAGGATCAAATGTAACCTCTTTAGCTCTAAGAGTCCTTTACAACATGGCCCCAACCTGCCTTTCCAACTTTATCAC